GTGGGTCTCCTGAAGGCAACAGATGGATGGGTCTTGTTTTCTGATCCAGTCCTCAGTTCGTTTTCTTTTAATTGGCGAATTCAGCCCATTTATATTAAGAGAAAGTATAGAGAGATGCATTGTTGTCCCTGCCATTCCGTTTTCCTAAGTTTTTCTTCTTTCCTTTCCTCCTGTGCTTGCTCAGTTAGACTTTGAGTAATGCCTGTTTGGGGCAGGTCCCAGTTCCTGGTTGCTTTCTTCAGGTTGTGTCCCCCCTCTTAGAATTCTTTGTAATGCCGGCTTAATGTTTATGTATTCATTTAGTTTTTCTTTGCTATTAAAAGTTTTCAGTTCTCCATCGAATGTGAATGCTAGCTTTGCCGGGTATATCAGTCTGGGTTGGCAGTTATTGGCTCTCAGGGCTCGTATGGTGCTTTCCCAGGCTTTTCTTGCATTCATTGTTTGTGTGGAGAGATCTGCAGTGATTCTAATTTTTTTCCCGTTGTAGTATAGCTCCTTCTTCATTTTTGCTGCATGCAGGATTGTTTCCTTATTATTCAGATCCATCATTGTTACTATTATGTGCCTAGAAGTGTTTCTCCTGGGATCTTGCTTGTTGGGTGTTCGATAAGCTTTTGTGATGTAGTTAAGATGGTCGTTTTTGAGGTGGGGAAAATTTTCATTGACTATCTTGTTAAATAGGTGTTGCATTCCCTTGCTCTGGAATTCCTCACCTTCGTCCACTCCGATTATGCGAAGGTTAAATTTTTTAGCATTATCTGCTTGCTCTTGAATTTCCCTTTGGTTTAATTTGAGTGATTTTTCCATATCTGTCACTTTTTGGTCCAGTTGGTGTATTCTGTCTTCTGTATCTGACACTCTACCTTCCATTTCATTCACTCTGTTGACCGTGGCTTCTATTGTGGTTTGCATGGTGGAAATGGATCCCTTTATGGATTCAATGTTGGTTCTCAGAGTACTGATCTCACCTCTCAATGAGGTGAGATCAGTATGCATTACCTCTAATTTGGCGTTTATCTCACTTCTTACTGAGGTTTGTGCAGCTTCTATTTTTGCATCCAATTTTTGTTTGATATCCTGTATATCTTTTGATAGTTCATCCTTGTGCTCTTTCAATTTCTGATCCATTTCTCGCTTTATTTCTTGAGTCATTGCCTCCAGCAACCCTTGGATGTAGTTTTTGTCTTCCATTCCTGCTTTGCTCCCACTGGGGCTCTCCCCTGCGTGGCTGCTGGCTTTTGAGGTGAGCTTGCTGTCCTGGGTAGTGGTAAACCTTGTGATTTTTCTCTGTGATTTTCGCATGGGGGTTCAGGAGACTGCTCTTCAATCTTGTTTTGGTGTGTCTGTCTTTGCTTGGTTGCTGATTCTGTATTGGTAGAGAGAGTCTGTGCCTGATCTGGATTCTGTTGGGAGCCTATTTCCAGCTGCTATTCACTTAGGATTCTCAGCTCTCTGCTGTAGCAATTCCCGCCTTTGGAAGGGTTGAGCAGCCTAGATTGCTTGTGTTTGCTCCTGCGGGTGCTCTTGGGAAGATCAGATGCTCTGGATGCACTCTCCCAAATACTGGAGTCTGCTATGGGCTCCTGATGTGTTTTTGTTTGTTTGTTTGGGGCTGGTTGTGGGCTTGAACTCTAGGTTTGGGTGCTGTCCCTCAGCTCTTCAGCTCAGGGCTGGCACCCTACCATTTGAGCCACAGCCCCACTTCTGACCCTTTTTGCTTTGTTCAGGTGCCGGTCCCCTGGCCTGGTTCCGGCCCCAGCCTGGAGCGCGCTCGTTAGGCCTGTGCTAATGTGTATACCACCTTGGTTATGCAGCCTGGAGGACACAGTTCAAATTTCTTCTACTGTTGGTAGTCTTGACCCAGGGGCACTGTTCCTGGCTTGAGCATTTAAGCTCCCTTCCAGGGGCGCTCTTGCTCTGGCCTGGCCAGCAGAGTGTCCTGTGGTCCGGGTGTTGGGGTAGGGAGTCTAGGTCAGGGTCTGGGGATTCCCTCCAGCTCTGGTCTCCCTTGATGGATTCCCTGTCCCCTGATGGGTACTCACCCTGTAGGTCGTCAGTTGTTGTTGCAGTCCGTCAGTTGTTGCAGTCCGAGTTCAGTTGGGGTGGTTGCGGGCTGGGTTGGGCGGCCCCCCCGCCGGGTCGTTGCGATCGCGATTGGGCGGGTGGTCTGCGGACAGGTCCCTTTGTGGCGCTGCTGGTGCCGGGCGGCTTTTGCGGGATGGAGCCTCTCCGCTCCGGTGGAGAGTGATGGGTGGGGTGGGATCCTCCCGGAGACTCCCGGCTGGTAGGTTTCTCTGTTCCTGGCGATCCGCTGTTCTGCAATCCGGTACCTGGTGATCTGCAAGCAGCCCCCTGTGTCTCTGTGGCTCCGGCAGCCCCCGCCGGGCCGGCTGGCCGGCGGCTTGGCGCACTGCCGCGCGGCCAGTAAAGGTTGGGGGAGGGGTCTTTGCTCTTCTCTGTTCTGAAATTCTTCTTTTCCTCTCTTTCTTTTTTTTGTTATTTTCCACCTCTGGTTTTTCTCTGAGTGTTCGTCTTTTTGTTGTTGTCGGTCTCTTGGGGAGATTAAAGGTTGGAACTCGAACTCTCTTTTTGGTTGGAGAGAGCTGTGGCGTTTCCCTACTGCCCCGTCGCCATCTTGGTCCCCCCCTCCTGAGCATCAGGGTTTTCACAATGAAACTTTTAACAATTTTCTTCTCTAGGTTCATGGATCACTTTGTGCCAAGGTGTCTTTACCACCTGTTCCGTTTACATCTTCCCCTAGAATTATTTGAAGCGAATCTCTGGGTTTTGTGTAGATTACAAAAGAGCTAGCTTATTGTAAGTTCTTGACTTTTGCTTTTCCTCCAAATCTTGGTGTTTCCACACTCTCAGATTCTCAGTGACTGGGGATCTAGAGAAGTATGGAGTTTAAATTAAGTATTTGGGTCTTGAGCTGGGAAGGTAGCTCAGTGGTAGAGTGCTTGCCTTGCATGCCTGAGGCCCTGGGTTCGATTCCTTAGCACCACATAAGCAAAAAAAAAAAAAAAAAAAGAAAAAATCCAGAAATGGCGCTGTGGCTCAAGTGGTAGAGCGCTAGCCTTGAGCTGAAGAGCTGAGGGACAGCGCTCAGGTCCAGAGTTCAGGCCCCACAACCGGACCAAAAAACAAAATAAAACAAAAGTATTTGGGTCTTGCTGGCCTTCCATCTTCCCGGAGCAGCAGTAGCTAACCTTAGACTATCTAGTTCTTTCTAGTGAGCTTTAGGGAAATCTGTGCATCCTGTTAAACTAGTATATAATATTCTTGGTAGAAATTTAGTGAGGGTTGGAACATTTGTTGCTTACTACTTGGGGAATTCAAGTCTGTCTGTTCCTTCCTTCCTTCCTTCCTTCCTTCCTTCCTTCCTTCCTTCCTTCCTTCCTTCCTTCCTTCCTTCCTTCCTTCCTTCCTTCCTCCCTCCCTCCCTCCCTCCCTCCCTTCCTCCCTCCCTCCCTCCCTCCCTCCCTTCCTTCCTTCCTTTCTTTTCTTTTCTTTTTTTCTTTCTCTTTCCTTTCTTTATTTTGGTGCCAGTTCAGAGTCTTGAAATCAGGTATTCAAGTTCTTGTTCAGCTTGTTTTTGCTGATGCCTGGCCCTTTATCCCTTGAATCATGCCTCTAATTTCTTCTTTTTACTGATTAATTGAAAATAAGAATCCCAAGGGTTTGTTTGCCCTGGCTGGCTTTGAACCATGATCCTCATATTTCAGTCTCCTGAGTGTCCAGGATTATAAGTGTCTGAGTTGGAAACTCTTTTATCCACTTGATTCTTGCCCTTTGTTGTTTTATTTATTTATAAATTAAGAATTATTGCAATTCTGGGCTGAGGTTGTAGCTCAAAGGAAGAGTACTTGTGTGGCTGGCATGTGTAGGATTCTTTTTAATTCCAAGGCTCCCCCCCCCCCCCCAAATTGCAACCAATTTTTGGACAAAACCTATTCTAAGTTAAAATTTTCTGAATTTCCAGACTGAGGCGTTAAAGAAAAACAAGTTGGAGTATTTTGTTGAAAAGAATAAGTAGTGGAAAGAAGAGCATTTACATAGGGAAGTGGACTTGTAGCTAATTTTTAAAATTCTTACCAGAATGACATTTTGGATCTGGGAAAAAATTATTTTTAAAAATTATAGCCTGGTGCTAGTGGCTCATGCCTGTAATCCTAGCTACTCAGGAGGCTGAGATCTGAGGATTGCCATTCAAAGCCAGCCTCAGCAGAAAAGTTCATGAGACTCTCATCTCCAATTAACCACCAGAAAAATGGGAAGTGGAGCTGTGGTGCAAAGTGGTAGAGTGCCAGCCTTGAGCAAAAGAGCTCAGGGGCAGGGCCCAGACCCTGAGTTCAAGACCCACGATGCCCTCTCCTGTCCTTCCCCATTGTATTTAAAGTAGTAAAGGCAAGTTTCTCATGCCAGACAGAGTCAGCCAGATGTGGTATGTTGTGGAACATTTAGTCAATCTCCTGGGAAAGCCAGGATGAAGAGTGGGGCATGTTAAGGTTTTTCATGTCATGTTTCATCATTGGAAGGTTGCACGAGAGAGGTTTTGTTTACTAAAATACATAGTTAAGCAGTCAGGTTTTATTTTGAAGCTTGTTGTAACTATTTTGCTGCTTTTGAGTTCTGAACTCTTATCTACATTTTTTTATATTGATTTCTATTTATTTGCTAGGGCTCCGCTCCCATAATAAAGTACCATAGAAGTGGCTTAAACAATTAACACTTCATTTCTTCTGGGTCAGGTGGCTAGACGTCCAAAATCCATGAGATTGGTTTCTTTTGGAGATCTCTCTCCTTGGTTTGCACATAGCAGTCTCTGTGCCTTCATGTGGTCTTTCTGTTGTACAGTGACTAATCTTTTCTTATAAAGACTCCAGTCATACTGGATTAGGGCCCACTGTAATGACCTCATTTAAACTTAATTACCTCATTAAAGACCTTGTCTGTTAATAACAGTCACATCCTGAGGTAGTAAGGGTTACAAGTGCAACATGAGGATTCAAGGGAAGGAGGACACAGTTCACTGCATAACACCTTATTCTGTTTGCCATTCATCTGTTTATTCTCGTATGGACCAACAGGGGAGCTCCGTAATAGAATCTGCACTGTTTTCACAGCTCCTCTCCAATATAGCCATTATTTTCAAGGTGAGTTTACAGGAACGGTATGTTGGGGCCTATTTCCCAACATGGTTTTATCTTTGATTCCTATGGATCAAAATCATAACTTTAGATCTTCAAAATCCTATATTCTTCAGTGGTAGAATTTGAGTTTTAATAGGTACAATTTAGATAACAACAAACTAAAAAAATAGAAGCCTACTATGCAAAATGCCATTATGAAACTTCATTTTATCTAACACAAATTTCCTTATTTTTTTTTTTTTTTCCTTGGGTCCAGTTGTGGGGCCTGAACTCTGGGCCTGGGCACTGTCCCTCAGCTAGCTCTTCAGCTCAAGGCTAGCACTCTACCACTTGAGCCATAGCGCCACTTCCGGCTTTTTCTTTTTGCTTATGTGGTGCTGAGGAATCGAACCCAAGGCCTCATGCATGCAAGGCAAGCACTCTACTACTGAGCTACCTTCCCAGCCCCATTTCCTCATATTTTAACAAGTAATCATTTTTGTACTGTTTTACTAAGTTGGCTCTCCAAGTTAAGCTCATAAAAGGTAGCTTTCACATACCAACTCTTTTTTTTTTTTTTGGTTGGTCGTGGGGCTTGACTCTGGGCTTGGGCGCTGTCCCTACACTCTTCAGCTCAAGGCGAGTGCTCTACTGCTTGAGCCACAGTGCCACTTCCATACCAACTCTTTATAATAGTTGCCATTTTAGACTTGGTATGGTTTAATAATGATATAATTTAAAGTTGTATTTAAAATAACATTATTTGAGCTGGACACCAGTGGCTCACACCTGTAATCCTAGCTACTCAGGAAGCTGAGACCTGAGGATCGCGGTTCAAAGCCATTCCAAGCAGAAAAGCCTGTGAGACTCCTATCTCCAATAAACCACCAGAAAACCGAAAGTGGCACTGTGGCTCAAGCGGTAGAGCACTTACCTTGAGCTGAAGAGCTGAGGGATAGTGCCCAGGCCCAGAGTTCAAGCCTCAAGCCCCCCCCCCCCCCCCACCTCAATACATATTTGAATATTAAAATTTGTACCAGCTTCTCACCATACCTCTTGCCTCCTGTATACAATGTCAGTGGAATTTTTGAACTAGTATATTTTTGGGGAGTATTGTATATATCTCAGCATACTGTCTGATTTTGGTTATGGAAGTTGGATTTTATACTTAGAAGGGAGGTTTCAGCTTCTACTTTGGGCAGTTATTCTCTAGCTGCCAAACAATTGCAGACAAATAATCCCCACATTCAAGGAACTTTGAATAATTCCTGTTTCCCTCCCCCTTCATCATGACTAAGTTAATATATTTTTTGTCCATGTGGCTTCTTTCCACATGGAAAAAATAATGTTTTCCTCTCTCAGACTTCCTTTGGTGTTAATTTTCATTTGAATAGTTTTCATTAAATAATAATTTTTAATAATAATAATTTTAATAAACTATTAAACTATTACATACTTTAAGCTATTAAATATTTAAGTCATTGAAGAAGTTATCTGCTTTTGGATAAACTACTTTTACTTAACACAGTAAGAAGATTCTGAGTGAAGAACAGAGAATGGTGTTTAAGTTAGATGCCTTTATTTTACTTATGTTTTATAATGTAATAAAAACCTTTAAGTGACATAGCTCTTATACTTATTAACTTTCATTTGGCAATTATTTCAGACTTATAGAAAAGTTGCAAAAATACAATGATTTTTCTAAATTTCCTTCATTAGCATCAACTTTATTTTCTGTTTTTGTGTATCTGTATAGCTAAGATGAATAGCCATATTTAATTTCCTTATCTGAAACATTTCAGACTAATTATAGGCCTTGTGCCTATTTATTCCTAAGTACGTCTTTATTTCATAAAAACAGGAAAACATTTTTCATAACAATAGTGTCTTCTACTCGATCAAAATTGTAAATCTCATGAATGTTTATGATAGCATGAGAAAACAAAATAGCTCTAAATTATATATTATGTTCGTTACATTCTTGCTCTCACTCCACCCCTTTCTTCTCTTTTTCTCTTTCTCTGAAACAGGGTTTCACTGTTTAGCTTCACTGTCTTAAAGTCTCAATTCTCCAACTCCACTTCCTTGTGCTGATACCACAAGTGTGATACCCTTTAAAGAACAAAAGATATACCATGCTTCTTACTGTTTCTTAATCTGCGACAATTCCATAGTCTCTTAGGGTTAGTTATGATCTTAACATGTCACAAAAGTACAAGCCACTGTTTTGCATACTATCCCTCATCTGAGGTTTGTCTGTTATTCCATAACTCATTGTTGCAGGAGAATTGTCCCACGGTGATGTTTCTTCTGTGGTGATGCTTCTGTGAGTGGCACAAAGTGGCACTCAGATGCCTGCTTACACTGCTTACTGGTGATGTAGTATCTCTTGGATTTCTCTACTCACAGTTACTGTTTTTCTCTCCATCATTAATAAAAGATCTTTCAAGATTCTGTAAATATCTCCTCATATTTTCATGAGTTTTATCATACTTCTTAACTTGTATTCAATGATGTGTCAGACAGTCTCAGAATTTATTGTAATTTTTAGAATCATGAGGCAGAATCAGTGATTTTTCTTAGTTACAACACACTGCCAAAAGATTTAGTTTTTCTATGCTTGTAACAGTACTGTTGAACTGAAAACATACGAAATTAATCAAGAGCTGGGTGCCCATGGCTCATGCCTGTAATCCTGCCTACTCTGGAGGCTGAGATCTGATCTGATGATCATTATTTGAAGCCAGTCTAGGCAGGAAAGTCTGTGAGAATTATCTCCAAATATCTACCAGAAAACTGAAAATGGTACCCTGGCTCAAAGTGGTAGGGCCCTAGCTTAGAGCCAAAAAGCTCAGGGACAGCATTCAGGCTCTGAGTCTTAGTCCCTCCCACCCCCCACCAGAGAGAGAGAGAGAGAGAGAGAGAGAGACAGACAGACAGACAGACAGACAGACAGACAAAGACACAGACAGACAGAGAAAGACAGACAGAGAGAGAGAAAGAGAAATTAATAAAAACCTAATTTTTCTCACTTTTGTTTTATAGGCATTATTTTTGGGGGGAGATAAATTTGGTAGCAACAGTTAAGTAAGAGGGAGTGGCAGGGAGATCCTGACACTAATGAGTGACATCTTGATGATGACCAAGACAAAATTAAATTATTTTCTCTTTTTATTTATTCATTAAGATAGATCCTCTATATGTTAGTTAGCTTGGCCTCAAACTCTTAGGTTCAGACAGTCTTCCTCTCTCAGCCTCCTGTGTAGTTGGGACTATAGACATGTTGCCACTGGGCCCAGCTCAGACATGAGTAAATGTAAATAGCAAATAGAGCCATAAAAGACTAGTGTTTTGTGACTATCTGCTTTAGTTGTATAGAACTATATGTATTCATTTTAGTCACTCAATATGATTGTATCCCATAATCGTCATTGGATTATTGTAGCTTTGTTTATGGTGAGTTAGAGAAATTTCCAACTGAACTATATTCATCAAGGTAGAGCACACTACAAGGTCTATTAGTAGATGATAAATCAGTTTATGTTAGCAAAGATTTTTTTTAACATTCATTTAGGTGAAGATTAAAAAATTAACAATACACTTGATCAACTATTAATAGATCCTGCTGTGTGGTTCTACCTTGGTATGAATATAGTTCTACTAGAAATTTGTCTTTGAACATTGGAAAGTCCTAACTTGGTAGGCCTTATACCTTTTGTGTATGTGTGATTTCTTCCCTCCCCTTCCCTCCCCTGCCTCCTCTACCCTCTCTTCTATTGAGGGAAGTGGTTAGGATTTATTCTTGCTGAGTAAAAGTGGATTTATTTACTCAGATAATATTTTTATAATGCAACATAAAAGACTATCCATTGTTTCTCCATACTGAATGGCTTTAACTGAAATTTAGAACTTTTTAAGCAATAGATCAAGTTATAAGAACATATATACGGGCTGGGAGGGTGGCTCAGTGGTAGAGTGTTTGCCTTGCATGCATTAGGCCCGGAGTTCGATTCCTCAGCACCACATAAGCAGAAAATGCCAGAAGTGGCACTGTGGCTTAAGTGGTATAGTGCTAGCCTTGAGCTGAAGAGCTGAGGGACAGCACCCAGGCCCAGAGTTCAAGCCCCATGACCGTATCCCCCAAAAAAGAACATATATCCCTATTCATATGTATATATGCAAAAGGTTTTATACATATATGTACATATATGTATACTGTGTGTTAGTGTGGAAAGTCACTTTCATAAAAAACTCAAACATATTAAACTATTTTGTGACGTTGACCATATAGACCTAAAAACATATTTTTAAAAGAAATTTTGTAATAATTATACCTTTAAATACTTTTTATTTTTTCAATCTTGAGTTAATTGTTCATGTTTTCATTATACATTCCATTGTGCATTCCATTTGGAACAAAGTGGGTTTGCTTTTGGATCCCATTCAAAGAGGATCTAACAAACTTATTTTTGTATACACTAATATAGGGATGTTTTCTAAGTAAAAAACACTGTTTTGTAATATATTTGAATCTTTAAGCTTTCATAGTGGTTTGTTTTTAAAGGAGAATAGCACGATTATACTACCGATTTTATTTCCTTGATTGTTTTTCATACACATTTTCTTATGAGGAAAGCCAGGAAGGAAACAACATCTCCAAACTGATAGAAATTCCAGCTCCCTCTACTACTTACTATAGGTGTGTTTGACTTGCTGCCTATTGATTCATTGATTCATTCATGATGTATTTACTTTCCTCCTCTATAGTACTTTTCTGGACACCTGGTCATAGACAAAGGAAATCATTAACTTAATTCTTAATTTTTTTCCCTCTAGCATGGATGTATATAGAGTATTATTATAAGGCTCTGGGCACACAGTAGGCTTACTTGTTGCAAAGTTAAGAGTTTTCAGATGGCTTTTCACATGAAACCGATTTCTAGAAAAATAGAGGAGCTTTGTGTTTGTTTCTTATTATACTTACCATATAATTTTTCTTTCTCACAAGATCCTGTTACTTAAAAATATATTTATATCTAGTAAGATCCTTTTATTTAGTGTCCATTTATTTTGCAAAGTGTAGATGCTTATTTTAGCAATGATTTGTCATTAAAATTATGTCAAAATGTCTTAAAATGTTGTTGAAACTGTAAACAAACTCATAACACACACAAAGCTAATTATGGATGCCATCTGTTTATTTTTACCAGGATTTTTTTTAGACACTACGGCATTGTCTGCTTATGATAAGCTTCAAGATGATTATAATGACCAAGTCCTGTCCTTCAATTAGTGTGATTGAAGATGGGAAGATAATTTGTTTGTTCGCTGACCTTTTCCTGTGTCCATGTATGAAATGTGACATCTCATGAAAAAAAAAAACCTACTGTGCCATACATCTTGAAACGTATTTACTTTTTAAAAGGAAGAAATTATTATCAACATACTAGATATTCCAGAGTTTTTTTTTTAATTTGTTCAAAGTTTAGATGAAAGGCAGATCACTTGTTCTTTTTCAACGCTATATACATGGCTTTATTTTCACTCAGGTTTAAGAATTCGTAAGTGATTAGTCGGGTTATAAGCACATATATCCCTGTTGGTGTGCCTGTATGTCAGTGAGTAGTTTGCACATGTGTGTCCCTTGTGTTAGCATGGAAGGCCAGGTACTTCCTTTACAACATCAGCCAAATAGTTATCAGCAATTTGCTGAGAGAGCAGAGTGATTTCCCTAGCTCTGTTTTGCTATTGTGCATGCTAAGCACTGCTCAAGTCAGTCTGGAGGGAAAGCAACCTGAAGGCTCCATCTGCTGCTTTCTGCTATGCTGCATTGATGCAAGATTACGCTAATCTGGCTGCTTGTCAGGACAGGTTAGTGAAAGCATGCAAGTGGGTGAGATTCAGTATAGAGTAGTGCTTTGGAAAATCAGAGGCTGCCCTTGTAGATGCCATGTGAAGTGTAGCAGAATAGGTTGATTAGCAGCTACATTAAGAAATAAGTGTTTCAGTTGAGACTTAGTTTCCAAGTGATATTATTAAGCTTTTGTTGGACCACAAGTAAATTAAAATGGGGGAAAGGAACAGATAACTTAAAAATGCTTTTTAGGCATTAATTTTTCTTACCATCATTTGTGTACCATGTTGTATTTATTTTTTGTTTTCCTGTTTTTAGTCAAGTATTCCTAATTAAAATACACCTAACCTCCTTTTGCCTAGAAACGTCTGCATTTTTCTTATTTATGTGTATTTCATTTACCTTCTTCTTTACTTACTGACTGGCAGATCTTGGCCTTGCAGGTTGAGCATCCTGTCACAGAATGCATTACTGGCCTGGACATAGTCCAAGAAATGATCCGTGTTGCTAAGGGTTACCCTCTCAGGCACAAACAAGCTGATATTCCCATCAACGGCTGGGCAATTGAATGTCGGGTTTATGCTGAGGTAAAGTGTGGGGTGTTAGGAGGAGGAGGGTTGTGTCCAAAGTCAGGAGAGTAAAGAGCTAAAAACAAGTAAAGTTAGGGTTGGTAACTTGTAATTAAACTAGAGGAAAATTACGTAAGTTTTACTTTGTTCAAATTATTTTTAAAGAATTGAGTTCGATTATTTTTGGCTGGGGAAGCAGCTTCCAAAATGTTAAAAGGGAACAAAGTATTAGTTAAATATTTTTGAGCTTGAATTGACCTTAGTGTTTGTTTTCTTCACTTCATGTTCATTTTCAAACCGTGTTAACAAGGAAGTACTGTCATTTATTTCTGTGGGCTTTTTTCTCTTAAGAGCTTACCCTGGGCATATATGAGTTGTTGATTTGATGCCAATTTTTTTTTCTAACAGTTTGTTTTCTAAGTTTGTCCTTTATGATTAGTTGGAAGTAACTATTGAAATGTAAATTGTAGAACTGTTGGCAAAAGTTGTATTCTTAATTTATAATTTTAATTATGGGTTTTACTTATCAAGTATTACTTCAATACTTTTACAACTTATACAAGTCAAATGACAAAGCACTCAGCATCTGAAAATGGCTTTTTCAAATGATTAAAACAAGAATACAAGGTAATTTGTATCTTCTTTTAATTTTTTTTTGACATCAACATTTTGGTAATCTAAAAAAAAAAAAAAAAAAAAAAAGCACTATCTGTGTGTAAGAATACCAAAATTGCTTTGAGATCTTTTGCAAGTAGCTTGAAGTATATTTTGTCATGGTTGTTACTACTCTTGCTCTTAATGTTAAGTTGTGTGTCTTTCATAAGACACTGAACTTATTATTTATTCTGATGTCCTCTGTATTTACAAATAGAATACATATCTAGAAGCACGTGCAGATTTTTTTTTTTCAGGTTATTTGAAGAACACAGATTCTCAAGTTTGAACATATGTGAGCTGTTTTGAGAAGTAAGAAAAACAAATATCTTTAGTGTACCACATTTGTTGTTTTGAACCTGAGTGTGTTTTGATGTAGAGCCTAGGTTATTTTATTTTTGCCCAAGGCATTCTAAATTTTCTAAAAAGTTGGCATTTGACCAATTTCAATAAAGTATGATCGAGGTTAGGCCAAATACTGCTTGCAATTCTATTTGGTTTTTAAGCATGCTTCTAAGTTGTTAGGGGATAAGACTATGTAATATTCTGAAATCTTGTGATTTCATGAATGCTGTATGTTAAAAATAGAGCTATAAGTGCTTCTTCAAAGACTGTACTTCCTTTCCTTTGAACTTTCAGGACCCCTACAAGTCTTTTGGTTTACCATCTATTGGGAGATTGTCTCAGTATGAAGAACCAATACATCTACCTGGTGTAAGTCATTAAGTTGTAATACTAACTGAAGTAAAAATCTTGATTTATGCCATACTTTTATGTTAAAGCATGTCAACACCAAAGGGTGTAAATTGAAAGATAAGTGAAATTTATGGGCAATCAGTTTTTGTGTTAAATTTGTTTTGAGCTTTATGATCAATCAAGTCAGAGATAAGATATAAGTGATAGTTTATAGTAGTCTCCATTCTTTTGAAAAGTATAATGAAAAGATTATGGAATCTTAAGAATGGAAATGAATTTAAATCTAAATTAATACAACTCCCCTAGTATAGTGAGATGTCAAATTTGAGCACAAAATGATCTCATTAATTGAACTGGATTAAGGAAAACAAACTGTGGCTCATTCTTTGTCATTGATGTGAAGATATACATATTATTTATATCAGTTAAGAAAAAGCGATAACTATCTTTTTCCATAGTTGTTTTATGTTTACTAACAATTCTTTTAAAGTGGTTTGTGTAAAAGAACATGAACATATTTTTTCTCTTTATCAAGTTAATAAGTGCATATGAATATGACATTATACTAGCTAGAGGATGACAAGACTGTACCATCTGTGACTATGATTATTCAGTTTGATTACTGGTAAGAAGATGGTGAAAGATTACAGGAAGAATTCTAAATTTGGAGATGTTATTGGATATGTGATTTATTTCACTTTTTAAATTGTTTTTGTCCATGTGCTTTCTAAAGGGATCTGACCCTTTCTAGGCTTGGAGACTCCATGCTGTGTTCAAAGCCTGAGGCAGGAAAAAAAATTGTAAAGATTTAACAGGCATTATGTGACATTAAATAGCAGATGAGAAAACAAGTATCATAGGGACATATCTAAACACTTTTTTAATCAAACAAAAAAGTATTAAATAAGAATTCATAATGATTACTCCAGTTGTTAGAAGTTTTCACCATGTTGTAATAGCTAACAGAATGTCAAACATTTTGCCCTCACAAGTTTTTGCAATTTGCAATTTTCAAACGTGAGACCTGTTGAAAGTACAAGTGATAATGGACAAACTATACCCCCTACAGTCTTTGTCCCACCAAATCTTTCTTCAATTAATGCTGCAGCAGGAGTTTTATGTAATAACATTTGCAGTTGTGAGCCATCCATAGAAAGAAAAAACAATTAAAATGCCTTAAATGTTCTGCTTACTGCTGTTATTTGCTTGTGTGAACGTTGCATGTCAGCTAAATGGACCAAGGAATAGATAAAGTGATTGGGGGCAGGAGAGTGCGCACTAAGCTTTGTCTATCATTATTGCTGGGAGCAATCAAATTGATGTCAGCAGGACAGTAGATGCGTTGACAGCTGTAATTATGTATCTCCATGGTGATCACTTTTGGCCTGTCATGGAGGCCCACGAGTCCCCTCCCTTGGAAGCATTTAATCAGATTGGGCTGTCACTTGTCAGGTAGACGTGGCGGGCTGGGAGTTGTGCTTAGGGGGAGAGGTGAATTGCGAATGAAGGGTGGGAGACGTCTGATAATTTCCAAGGTCCACTGTGCTACTGAAGAAAAAAATTTAATTATGCTGGAGATTTCTGAATAGTGGTTTGAGAAGCACATAGAAGCTCATTTGTTTTCCCTTATTGCTTTACAAAACTAGACTAGTCTGTTTAACTTGGGAAAACATTTCTTCTAGCTCTTACCTTTTTTGGTCACAAGAAGCTCATATGTAAGAGTTAACTTATTTATGGCTTGTGCCTTTCACATATGCATCTTTAAGCTTGAGATTTATCTATATGGCAAAGATGAAGATTTTTCTTTATATCTTTGGGCATCATGCTTTGTAAATTTATTTTCAGACCACAATTTTGTTTTTCTCAAAGCTTTGATTCCAATTTCATTTAACATTATGCTTAAAGTGATTAATGCCAATTTATATAGCTTTGTTTCCATTAAGGAATGAACACTTGATTTGACTTTCAATTGGTTTCTAGAAATTAAAAAATAGCTGATTATTAATTTGAAAAACCTACATAAACAGTAAAGTATAAATTGGGATTTTTCAACTTTGTTACAAGTTAAATTAGATATGTTGATTTACTTGCATTTGTTGATTATATATGATAAATTTCAATTTTATCTGGTATGGTCTTCAAATTAAAATGCCTTACTTTCTGTGTTCATAATTTTGGTAAGTAGCAATGGCTTTTAGGTGATTTTGTTCAAGATAATTACAAAATTTAGGTAAGGAACTACAGAAGAATATGACATGTTCCTTATTGTCTATGTTATTTTACCAGTGGGTTGAACTTCGAAGTTTCTCACGAATTTTTTTTAACAGTTTATAAAGCAAATGAATGGGATATGTTTAAAGTGAAAAGTTTTAGAATTTGTACAGGTTTCAGTTTTGAATACATCTTTAGCAAGCATGCTATGATTTTAAAGATTACATTGTAGTTGGATAAGTTATTTAACATTTTGATACTAAAATAAAAAAAAATAAAGTGCACAGTATTTTTTCTATTATGTGACCATAATGGCCAGTGGCCATTTTGGAACTATTTAAATGTTGAGAGAAGATACATTGTAATTTTATTGCTTTCTTTCCAAGCTGCCCTATTAATTTTTTTCTAGATTTAGTCAACATTGACTTCATAGAATTTAGTTTTTGTTATGAAATATGTTTTTAGGAAATAAGAAGGCCAAGTATATTTTTGTGAAAGCTGAGTGGTATTCATTTAAAATTAAGACTTTTATATATGAATATGAATAGAAATATCTATAGTTTTGTTTGAGTATGCAATCACGGAAATAAAAACCCTCTGGATGTGTTATAATGTTGTCTTTTAAACCCTTACAGAGAGATTAATAGTGGTGTGATTTTTTTTTTTTAAAGAGGATGAAGCTACTATGCCTTATCTTTTGATGTCACTATGTAATAAAGCCATCAGCACACCCTCTCGTGGATGTCCTAGACAAGAGGTTCTACATGTGGTCCCTTGATAATTGCCTAAATTAAAATATTAAAGGCCTAACAGCCGCTGTGTTGACCTTTTTCTGCCTTGCTGCAGACAGATGAGCTGCTGTTTATTAGGAAGGCTTCTTCCCACAGGTGATGAGTTGCACGCGCTTCCACTCTTCTCTCCATACCCCTTCACAATGTTGGGCACCAAAGTCCTGCTGTTCTAGCAGCTTCAGTTAAATTCCTCTATTCTCAAGATCCCTAGGATATGACTGACAGCCTTACATATTTTGATTAGCTTTCAAATACTTCAGATTCCAAAACTTGGGCCAAATAATTTAATAAGTGCTCCATCTTCAGCATCTGCTCATTTTAAAAGTTTTACATGGCTAACCTTCGTGCTTCACTGCTGATACCAAACTGGGAGATGAAAACAAGAATGGGTGATGTACTAACTAACTTGTTGGCTGGTTAATAGCAATCAAACTCTTCAAAAGGATACTTTGAACTTGGGCTATTTTTTCCCTATGAAAAAAAAATCACAAAATCAGAACCATAATTGGAGCTATGTCCTTACAAAGCAAAGCTATGGGAAAAGCTGTGTAAACATGAAAGCCTCAGGAGACTAATGCTAACAGAAAAAATAGTGTTTTTCAGTCCAGAGGGTGAGGCAGAAACGAAAGTGTTGCAGACATGAAAGGCCTGGCGGGTTCCTAAGGCTCTAATGGACGAGCCTGGCTGGGGCTGCCCTGGTGCTCACAGGAGGGTCCAGTGGAGAGAGCCACAAGAAGGGGCCTGGTCCGTGCCACGCTCCAGCTGGAAGACACCAGAAGGAGCTGCAGGTGCCCTCCAGCCTGGGGACCTAGGAAGTTTTTCTTGTTTCTTTGAGTTTCTGAGTTTCCTTGGTTTGTGGGGAAACAAAAAGTATATGTTACAGTGCATACAAACAGATCCAACACCAACCTAGTTCTCTGTACTTTTAAGCTGTTTTTTGTTTTCCAGAAGCTGTCCATTTTCTCCATAGGAATTAAATTTCTGGTTAAAATTAATCTGCCCATATGAAGTTGCTCTGTGTTTTCTTTTCTCAGGTCCGGGTTGACAGTGGCATCCAACCAGGAAGTGAAATCAGCATTTATTATGATCCTATGATTTCAAAAGTTAGTTCTGTTTCTTAACAATTTCTTCTAGCCTTCTTTTGATCACTTGAGCCTATATCTGAGTCATGTGCTATAAGTAAACAAGTATTATGTACTGATGTAAAAGTGAAAGCGGAACTTATTTTTTCTTGCAATGCTGTCTTCTCCTAAATCAAATCATACAACTACCACCACCACTGCATGTGCTCACATGTGTGTGCATGTACGTGCACACAACACACATGTACACACTACATAATCAGTGGGACTAATCAAGCTCTCTGCAATGAAAAGGAGTTAATTATGTCATTCCTGAGATTTACCTGTGAGTAGCAGGTAATATCAAGAAGTTGGCTTGTCACTATTAGAGTATTTTCAGTCTTTGCAAATCATTGCTTAAGGAAATTTGACATAATTAAGTTGTTTTTTTTTTTTTTTGTTTTGTTTTTTGCTTTTTTGTGGAGCTAGTGATGGAACCCAGGACTTAGTGCATGCCAGATAAGCAGTCTACCACTGAACTATGTCCACAACCCAATTGAGTTTTATATATTAGCAGAAGATGTGATTTTGACTACTTACATTTTTCTAATTTTAACTTTATGGATTAAAAAATTTTTACTTAAAACTTTCAATCTTTCAATTTTAAGACTTAATAAAATATGAAAAACTGCAGTAGTTAGAATTGTGTTTTGTTTGAATATTCTGTATTTTCTTAAAGGTGATGTTAAGGCTCTGTTGAGAAAGGATTTCTTTATTAAGCTCTACTTCTCAAGATTCTTTTCCCCAAGGGTATTTTCCATTTTGTTTTATTTTGTTTTGTTTTAGTATGAGGGATCAAACCCAGGGCCTCATGCATGCTAGGCAAGTGATCTACTACACTCCCAGGTTCAAAGTGTAGTTTTAGGTAGTTGTAGGAACAAACTATTTTTTGTGGGTTTTTTTTTTTTGACTTATGTTTTTAGCTAATATTGTTAAAATGAATCTTAAGTATTTTATTTAGAGAAGCATTACATTTAAAAGGTATATAAGGGCTGGGAAGGTGGCTCAGTGGTAGAGTGCTTGCCTCACATGCATGAAGCTCTGAGTTCGATTCCTCAGCACCACATAAGCAGAAAAAGCCAGAAGTGGTGCTGTGGCTCAAGTGGTAGAGCACTAGCTTTGAACTGAAGAGCTCAGGGACAGTGCCCAGGCCTAGAGTTCAGGCCCCACAATGAAAAACAACAACAACAACAAAAAAAAAACCAAGGAAAAAAGTATATAAAATATCAAGTTAACTTTTAAACTAGCTATAATTCTGTTTTTAGAGGAATTATTTTTCTATTCAAAAAAATGCTCTACTAATTCAAACTGTCCTAATACTGAAGAGCTTATAAAATTTACAAAAGTAATTACATCTATAGATGAACTAACAACCACAGAAAGTCAAAGGCTTGTTTGTTATCTTATATATGCTATAGATAAATAGATATTAGATCATATAAAACAGATAGGCCTACTTTTCTAATATATATGGAGCTGAGTAATTATTAAGATACTTTAGTTTTTATCTTTCATTTTCATATTTAAAAGTTTGTCTACTTTTATTTGTAAAAGTATTAGCTGTTGTGGGTTTCAAACTTAGAACCCTAGAAAAACAGAAAAAATTTAAAGGGCTGTCTAATCCTACCACTATTTCAGATGTATATATTCAATTCCAAGTTGACACATTTTCTTATATACCCCTTTAAATTTTTTTCTATGCCTATTTCTATTCAGTTCTTTTTTTCATGTAACTGTATTATGACAATGAAAATGAAAACACAGATGGCTTGATTCTCTTTTCTCAAAAATCTTCTTGACATATTTAAACTAAACCACTGTGAAATATTAAAAGATATGTCAGGAACCTTGTTGTAAAATATTTTAATTTTTATGAGATTGAATCATTGAACATATAGATGGCTACTAAGACTGGTTTTTATTTGTTTCCAGCTAGTTACATATGGCTCTGATAGAACAGAAGCATTAAAGAGAATGGAAGATGCACTGGATAATTATGTAATTCGAGGTAACAATCTAAGTATTTGATGTCTCATCATTGTATATGATATCTAGTTCTAGAAAACAGCTTAAAGTTTTAGTAGAGAATTCCATGAAAGAGTTTCTTTCTTTTAAAAGAGTTTCTTACTTTATTTAAAGAGAAGTCATAAAATCTGTAATTAGTTAGACTCAGATACTAAGTATATGCCTTATAATTCAACTTATAATTTATAACATACTTATATGAATATATACTACTTTGTAGTTATATATTGTATGTAAAATGAGAGACTTTAGAATTAAGAACTATTGCCAGTTAGGTTTGATAGCATTTTCTTTTTAGTATTATTATCTATGAATTTTCTGTGTGTGTGTGTGTGTGTGTGTGTGTGTGTGTGTGTGTGTGTGTGTGTGTGTGCACGCACGACGCACGCGCACATGTGTGTGTCGCCATTACTGAGACTTGATTTCAGAGCCTCATGCTTTAATTTGGCTTTCCGCTCACTGCCAGTGCTCTACCACTTGAGTCACACTTCTGGTTTCTTGTTCATTCATTTTTGAAGTGAGAAACTTGAAAATGTAATAAGATATGGAGCATAGTGACCTACATTTGACTAATTTTGAAGTAGGAAGAATAAATCTTTGCTTTTCCTGATGAAACTGTAGGCTATATTTTAGGAAATAAAATTTTCTTTCCTCATGCACTTACCTGATAGTTCTGAGTCCTAACAAAGTATGATTCTACAGGCCATTAGCATGTGTAAGGCTAATTGAATTGTGTGGAGACCTCACATTCAACTAATGAGAGCAAAATTACATTAGTAATGAAAGGATTAATTTAGCCTAACATAAACCATCATCAACTTCAGATTAGTGAACTTTAATATCAAATTTTAATTTAAAATTTAAGTTCACCTTGAATTTTGAAAGGATAGTTAGAGTCTAAGAATACTCTGTAGCAGAGATTGGGTACTCTGTAGTTCTGCTTTCCTTCTCATGTCACACTGAGATCACAGTGGGACTGGAAGGGGCTAAAGCGTTGCTGAAGTGCTGAGTGTGGTTGCACAGCTTCCTTTCCTTCAAGTGGACATTGCTTTCAGGTCGTGAGGGTAGGTAAGTAGTATGAAACAGGCAGAATGCTCAGCTTAGCGATGGAACATGCAGTCTTTACTTACCCCCTTAACCAAGTGTCTTTGTGCAGTGAAAAGTTAGTACAACTTACAGTAGCTACCAGTCCCTACAGAGAACAGTTTAGTGACCCACTTTGCCCCAGTAAGCATCTGAAAAGCCCTATTTTTTTCATATTACAGAATATTCTTTGATATAAAATCTTATTTATTTTTTTCACTTACTGTACTTTATATCTAGGTTCTCTAGTTGCTATTTTCTTAAGTGAGTTAAATAACAAGAAGGGTGCCCTTAATCTGCTAACTTTGTAAGTATCACTTGTAAAAATATACTTCATTATATAGACTTTGTTCTGTTTTCTTGGCTTAGTCTGCAGTTTCCGCTTTTGACTTCTCATGTAGTAGATGGAAGCCAGACAGACCTGGCTTCACACCCTGCCAACAAGCCATTTAAACACTTAGTCATATTAGTTTACTTCTGTGTGTGTCGTACTCTACATTGAAAATCTCTTCTTTCTAAATTAGTAGTTTGAACTAAATGAAGTTAAGTATAGAAAAGGCTTGTTATTATACTGGTTCATGTTATCCCAGTAACACTAGTTCCTATTTTTCCCCTTTTCTCAGCACAATTATAAAACCACATACTTAAGATCACATATTTAAAAATGTTGTTAGCCAGATAACAGTCCACCATACTTGTAACCATAGCTACTAATCCTAGCTCCAAGATATGAAAACAAAGATACCTCTCTTTTTTTCCTTTTAATTTTTTATATTTTTATTTTTTGATGATTCTGTCTTCTTTTCCTTATGTACAGTATATTCAAGTATCTATCTTCAGGAGGGCTGGGGAGAGGGTACAGAACTTGAGGGGGAAAGGGTGAAAAGGTGCAGCAGTGGCGCTCGATGGACACTGATGAATGTGAACTCTACAACTCATGGGTGGAGAAGGAAGGGGGAGGGACTGTGAGAGAGTGAGGGAACAGAAAACACTGTGCAAAGGGAAATGCACTCATTACCTGACTCACGTAATTGTAATCCCTCTGTACATCCCGTCTGTAATAACAATAAAGTAAATTAGTTTAAAAAGTAAAAACAATTTGCAGAGCAATGTTTAGTGTATTCTAATTTTAGTTAAACTATTCTCCTAAAAAAAAAATATTTTTGTTGTGTTTGGATGAACACAGAGTAGGGTAGGTATGTGTACATTTCAGATTGATACTTTAAAAAAAAACTTTTATTGTAAAGGTGATGTACAGAAGGGTTACAGTTGTATACTTAAGGTACTGAGTACAGTTAAAATGTTTAACAAAGAGTAGTTTTCCTTGATATACGTTTTTAGACTTATATATTTTTAAAATCTAGGGAACAGTTGGATGGTGTAATACACATTTTAGTACTCTTCACTTTGATTAATCAGTTATTAGGCTTTATGTCATATTTTGTTTCTTCATTTCCCCCTATTTTATTTGGCTTTCTTTCGTTGATTTTGGAGAGCAGTACTGGGGTTTAAACTCAGGGTCTTGTGCTTGCTAGGCCGGTGCCTCTATGACTTGACCCCTTTTTACTTTAGTTGTTCTAAAATAGAGTCTCGATTTTTGCCTCAGAAATCCTAGACATGATCTTCCTATTTATACTTCCTGCTGTAGCTGGGTGACAGATGCGTGCCAGCACACTCAGGTTTTTCATGAACTTTTTGCTGAGTTTATCAAATCATAATCCTGTCTGCTCTCAACCTGAGTAGATAAGTATGAGCTACTATTCCTGACTCTTTCCCTTTCTTTGCCTTTTTCTTTTCCTTTTCTTTCTCATTTTCTTCTTTGTTTCCTCCCTCCATTTTCTATTTTTTTCCTGATTCATTTGAAAGAAACTTGCAAACATCATAACAGCACTCTAATACTTTACAATGTATCCTAAAAATAACAGCATGTTCCCACAAAGCCACAATACTCTTCTCAGTCCAAAGACAAATTTAACAACAATCTATTAGTATCATTTGATGGACTGTCATTATTGCAGTCTCTCCAGGTCCCTCAAAGTTAACAAAGTTATCTGTTGTTTGATCCCACCCATGTTACAAAGTGCAATAGCTTTTGTATGTCTCTTAATCCTCTTGCCCCTCTTCTTACTTCACTTCACTGAAGTTTGAGAAGAATCTGGTTGGGAGTCACCTAACCCTTTCCTCTGGCTGTGTAATTTACAAGGTAGATTGAATGTGATTCTCAAAATGTTTTGGAATTCACATTTTCAAATATGTGATGCCCAAATGGTAGAGTGTATGTAAGTATTTGAAAATCTGAGAAAACTCCAAATTTGAAACACTTCTGGTCCTAGACATTTTAAATAATAAATACTTAACTAGCAGTGGCCTACAGAACTTAAGAGAACTGCATTTTAATGTTACTCTTTTATTATAAAGGAGACAGTCTGGGAAAAGCCAAATGGAGGAGTGTAGAGCTTCTGTGCCATCCAGGGCAGTATTACCTTACCAGCGCTTCTGGTGTTCACCAGCATAGACACTCTCCAATTTCTGCCCTGTAGGGTTATAGAGGCTTTGTTACATAGGTGGGATTAAATCATTGGCCACTAGTAATTAAGTCCGTCTCTATCCCTAGGTGAGTTGGGTAGAAGTGGGGATGGGTGGATGGTGGGGCTACAAGTTCTACCTCACTCATTACATGGTTGGTGTCCCTGACCACCTGCTCCACTCCTCTTAGAGACACTCATTAGCATAAACTCAAGTATGGTTGAATAGAGCTTATTATGAAGAACAGATGATGCTCCCTCACCCCTGTCATTCAGGAAAATCCAAGGGTATTACGAGTCAGCATCAGAAACCTGGAACATATTTTATCCATCCATATATCCATATATACGTACATACACACATATACACATGTGTATATACTATATCTTATTTTATAACAATATCACAATCATTTCCAAGCTGAAAATATTGAAATCTTTCCCTACTGGCCTCACAATAGTCTACAAGGCCTCTGTAGTCTGATTTATACTACTGTCTTTGATACATACCCCTTCTCCATCAATCTCAGTAGTTTTTTTTTCCTAGATGGTATCATTATCTCTCCTTTTGAGGATCTTCACACTTAGGCTTTAGCCTAAGAAGTTGTAAAAAAATACAGTGACTGAAGAAAGATGAAGTTTATTTCTATCTGTGGGTGGCAGTATAGTGAGAACATTGTTGAGGGCTAGTCTGGTGGGGGCTCATTCATCCACAGCAGGTGGTCTCACTTTGGAGCCTCAAATGACTGATTTTGTACTTATAAATTCCATCAAGAAGGTGGCCAAGGACTTCATGCTCATCTCTTTTCAGGTCATAACCTAAAAGGGATATCTATATTTCTGTTTCCATAATGATGTTTAATTGTATGCCCATACCTACCTGCAAAGGAAGCTGTGAAATGTAATTGATATCAAAGCGGCATTTCTGCTACAAGCTAATGGAAAGCAATTCTCTTATTAAAGGACAGAGGAGAGAACAGATACTGGTGGTAAACTAGGAAAGATAATATATACGTCTGCTTATTTGTAAAAATCATGTACACAGGGCTGGGAAGGTGGCTTAGTGGTAAAGTGCTTGCCTTGCATGCATGAGGGTCTGGGTTACATTCCTTAGCACCACATAAACAGAAAAAGCTGGAAGTGGTACTGTGGCTCATGTGGTAGAGTGCTAGCCTTGAGCTGAAGAGCTCAGGGACAGTGCCCAGGCCCAGAGTTCAGGGCCCATGACCAACAACAACAACAACAAAAGAAATCATGTACACAAAGCCAGAACTGATTAGATGCTACACTCACAGGAGGTGGATGTGGAATGTATTAGAAATGTTTGGGAGTTGGAAAATAAGGCAAACGAGATAAAGAGGAATCTCTGATTATA